GTTAAGAAAAAATACCGGCACGCAAATTACTTTTTGGCTACCATAATAAATCGGGCGCTTTGAACAATTTTATTAGCAGCCGTAAACGTTATAGAGACGCAGTTAAAGTGTCAGAATTTGACCGTAAACGAGCGTCCATTTGAAAAAGGAGTGTTTTCTTTGCGCTCGCGCAGCTCTCCGACGCGTTGTAATAACAAGGCCGGTAAAGTTTTATTGTCTATTCACTGTGATGAGCTTATTTCTTTATCTCTCCGTATGACTAATCATTATTTACTAGCTAGTCTTTGAATCTCCTCGAGACGTAATGTTATTTTAACGCTGGAAATAATAGTAGTTCACTTACGTGAAGTGTGTTTAGTTTATTTAGGCGGATCAGCTAGAAAAGCGGAGACCGGTTAATTGATAGGTTGCTGAATACCTGTGCACTGGCTCCGAACAATGCAACCTGACTAATTATCCACGCTCCGATTGTTTAAATTTGAAACTTATGAAATCGCGTTACAACTTGTATTGTAATGGCGCGAGCGCACATATTGCTCGCAGTAACGCGCGCACACTACTTTTACGTGGAATTTCTTTCGCGATGCTTTTTTGTTTAACTTTAATTGCCGCTCGTCGGAAAGGAGAGAGATAAAAGACGCTGTCGAAGAGGGAACAACGACCAATGAGGCATTCCATAGCTTCGGTAGACTTTATTAAAAGAAGCGGATGTAGGGGTAAGTATTTTAAGAGGATCCCGACGCGAGCGGATTGAAATAAAGGAAATTATTAAGAGCTCTCTCCATGATAAAAACTCGGTAGACGGAAGTTACTTCAACTATGGGTTTATAAAGCATCAGACGCTCATATCGCGTTGCATTATGTAGTAATAAGTCGATGATGCGTGCGAAGGTTTTACGTTTTTCGAAGTGGAAACTTATATAAGCGGCGGTCGCCGGGCGAATAATAATGCGGGGCGCGTAACCGATTACGATTCTAACGTAATTATCGACGATTTAAGGCACAGGTTTGGTCGAGGTGTGAGTTTTTACGCGACGCGCTGTGGATCGTTAATTACTTTCTAATGTGTACGCCGCTATCGAGCGCAAAAAGCGGCTGAGTTCACACGCGACAATGGATTAAGAACGGCATTCGACCGACGCCGCGTGCGTTACCGTACTATTGTTTTGAAATTCGAATCGAACGTGACGTCACTGCAACGTTAATTTCTGAGAATGGCACACCTGTACTTATTTCGAAAAAAAAAAGAATATATAGTACACGCATGAATTGTGACCATGTAGGTTGTTAACAGAAGAATTTTCATACTTTCATTAAAACTGTGTTATTTGGAGCGTGGAAGCATTTTACGAAACATGCAAATATAAGTAACAATCTCTAGAATTAGTTACGCCGTTGCTTACTCTACTTGCTGCACAATAAAGACGCGTGTTTCTTCACTTGACGACACAAATACATTAATCAGGCTGAGCTTTTACGTGTTTTAAATAGTGTTCGGGAACAATGTTAGGCTAGTATTTGTTTTGTTAATACTAGTTGAGTAAGTGACCGCCGTAATTACTTACGACTGTACAAGACCCCACAGAGTGAACTTTTCGCTCCGTTGCTTGAAGAGAAGTTTGTATAAAAACTTGAATATAGCTATTTGTATGGTGTTTTAATTAACCTTAATTAAGTAAAATCAGTGAGTTAAGTCTCACGGTAACAAATACACTGGACTATCATTTTTGTGCCACATATGGTGGAAATGACTTCCGGAACATGAGACGCACACATGGCCCGACTTATCAATGACCGTCAAAATATCATCATTATTAGTATTTAATTAGTTCCTCTCTAGATTGGTTACATTACAATATTTTCATCATAAAACCTTTTTTTTTAAATTACAAGAAAAAAAAACGAAAACATATTAAATAATTAGTTATCTGTGGTAATCATTGATATAATTATTATATCAAAGGTTTTCTTCGAAATCTGAACATTTGCAATCGCACGCAGCAAAAACTGAGCGTTGCGAAATATTCAAATATGTACAATCCAATTTTATGCACTTTTTTTGGAAAAAAATCGACCACAGATGAACTCAAAAATGGTAATAAATAACGATTATAAGCAAATTATCAGTACGTAATATCGCAAAAAATTCAGTCAGTATGTCCTAAAAACTATTCTAATTTATTATTTCCTTCGCAACAGCTTACCAGCAACTAGTTTCTAGCATTCCTTATCACGAACCTAAAAGAAACTCGTTATTTTTATTCAAGGTGCTATAGTAACGGAATAGATAACTTAGCTAATTAAAGAATGCAGGGCCGAGGTCCCGCGCTATTAAAGGGTTCATTCTTAAACTTCAAATAACTATTTTAATTTCAACCATTCGTAACCGCTTTGCATGCAAAGGTTGAACGCGGAATTTTTTAGAAAAAGGAATTTTAAACTTAACAAATGAATTCGAAGGATTTTTTGCAATATTGCAAATAGTAGGGGACTTTATCAACTACCCCGTGGGAAGGTGACTTGCGAAATATTTATGAATTATGATCAGATGACAGTCGCCAGATCTCACACTGCATTTCTTACAATATCTTCAAACAAACAGCCAATATTAGCAGCTGTGAGACAACAATAGAGATTAACTATCGAATTTATTGTGACTGCGTAACAATAGATGATGGACAAATTTATTAAGATAAGACACAATACCGTCTATGAGTAATATCGCGCAACACGGATCTTGGATCCATAAAAACGAATAGTTCACGGCCAGCGCGCGCGCCGGGCCCCGCGCATGCGCGGAAGCACACTTTGACATTTTGCGCTCTCTCCGCGAAGCAGGTGTAAAATGCACAATTGCATAAGCACAACATTTTTTCGCATTAAAACGGCAGCGTATAACGGTTCCACGAGCGCTTGTGAATGGGCCCGTTCATGCCGGGGGGTGTGCACCCCTGCCATTAAGGGCACGTATCGGTGACCTTTCCTCCTATCCGCGCTGTAAGCCAGCCATTAGCCGCTCTCCGTACGTGCGAACGCTCGCTCATAATCCGGTCCTCACCTCTTTGACATCCGGACTGTCTAACGGGCCTCGGAGTGCGCTTCACAATATAAAACTTGTGATTTACAAACTCAAATTGTTTGAGAGTGAAATAAATGAAATCCCGCCGGCGAACCGAGCGTCTGCATACAAATGAGATTTCTTTTCGGAGTGAGCCATCTCTTTCTCTAAACGCTGTATGATAAATCGTTTCTATGCGTCGTTAACGCGCGCGCCGCTTTACTTGTAATTTCACTGTTCGATGTTGTCAGTAATATTAATATGCTCATGACCTATTATCGTGCAGGTCAGATCTCCTCTCGGGTCGGGACTAGTACCGATTTATTTCACAAGGGATCAGATAAAGTTCGGATGCAGTTGCGTTTAAGATTACTTCGGCGGGGTTGTATTACAGCGAGCCCGTTATGACCGTACGCTCGATGGTTCACGTTTCAAAATATTGTGATACTGGCCATCGAGCCTTCGATGAGTAAATTAAATGTCAAATTCGAAAATCGAGCGTCTGCGAGCATCTCGGCGGAGCCCGTTCACCTGCCGGGCCGGTCACGAAGCCAGCGTGCGGAACGTACCATATACTAACACATTACGCGGTACATATTTATTCGTGCGCGCGATATGCCTCGTAAAACAGGCGCTTCTCTGGCCGACGATGACCTCATTGTGAGAAAAAATCCAAGTCAGCTTTAACTAATAATGCTAGGGGCAGATTGTATTATTTAAATGAGACGCATCCAAGTGTAGCCGTATCGGTAAGCGGCGAGGCGTATGGCGCATATCCTCAGGGCATAGGATTTACAAATTTTAGCGACATATGGAATCGTGGCATATGGGTGACTTCTGAATGTCCGACTGGAGTGAGATAAACTGCACATGGCGTGGAATCGACAACGTCAACTGCTAGCTTAGCCTGTCACTTTTGAAATTTGATAGATTAAAGCATTCTGCGGCCGCTTTCGCTCAATTGATCGCATGTCAACACATGCCTCGCAATAGAGAGCTCTATGTGAATTTAAACAGGAAGTTTCAATTTAGCGCCAATTCATTTGGAATGATAGCGACAGTTACCGGACGCACATCCACTATCCGAAAAAGTTTTAAATTTCGTCTATGCTCAGTTGGCTCTACCTGTAGTTTCGTTTAGTTACCAAATGTCACGTTTTCTCCAGATGGTCGGAGCTTGTGCAAGCGGCCGACCATAGGTCCGATTGTTTGCTCAAACATTACGAGACGGTACGACATTTGAAGCGGGCCGCTAAATAAAATACAAATAGCACTCGAAACCTCTAGGTCCACACGCGGCCTGTGTAAACCGTACACAATTGACGCCGAGCGAAATAACCGTAACTAAGGTCCAATTAAGACGTCCGTTATCCTTGGAATCGAGATAGATCTAAGCGCGATCTGTAAATAAATAACATGTAATTACAATATCGAATCACGATCCCGGCCGGCCTCCGCGCTCTAATCGCCGGTGAAGATGAGAACGCAGCCACGACGAAGGCTAACCGACTACATCTAATAACATACGACTGTCCGTGCCCACTGCCCGATGCCCGTATGTACAGAGAGCAACTTCATAATTAATTAAAAATGAACCATTCAACGCTGTAATCCTCCCACGCGGCTGCTCGTTAAACCATCAAGTATTCTTATCGTCATCGCTTCTGTCAAATTTGAATATAGAATCCCTTAATTTCTTTTTTACTATTATTTACGGCGAATGAGATGGCCCGTAGAGGTCTCCGCGTGGATTATTGGAATTTGAACGTTGTTGGTTACATCCACCGCGTTGATTTATTGATGTAGGGTTGCTACTTAATACTTCTTTTACGACGTATTGATTTTACTGTTGCCTACAAAATTAATGAGGTGTTGTTTTGTTTACGAAACGTCAATACGTTCTACGAGTACGGGTAGTAAAAGCTTATTTGAAGAAACTCACCGGCCATGTGAAGTCGAAGGGGAACACGATGGGATTGCTAAATCCTTCCACGTGGAGGTTGGGCACATCCAATGAGTTGCCGCCCAACACAGGCGTTGTAATGTCACCGAAGGTACACGGTGACGTTGTGTCGATATTAGCTTGATATATCTTGAGGCACACTCGGAATTTAGTCCTGCACGGCGCCAAACACGGCGCGTCACTATTTGAGGAACCATCACAGCACTGCCCACTACTTAACCTACCCAATGAGTTCGTAAAACTTTTTATCCTAAGTTCGAAGGAACCAGACGTCAGCACCTGGAAACGGAGAAAACAAACATTGTAGTTACTATGTCAGGAATGAAGGTAAAAGTAAAGATTAAGCGAGTCAATATATCAGATTCAGTGTGACAACACAAACAAACTAGCATTACAGCTTTCGTCGCCCCAAAGATGTAATCCTCAAACATGGTATTTGCACAACTGTCCGCGCGATCGATCCTGTTGAGACATTAACGGTTTTACTGGACACAGTATATGTAGGTCGCTCAAAAATGGGGTTGCATTTAACAACGCGTGTGGGGTGAACGGTGACACCCCTATGAATCGAATTTCGAACGTTAGTGACGTAACAATACACTTTTTTGTTAATCGAACTGTCAAATAATGGCGCCCCCCGCATTGTTTTAAATGATCGTAGCTAAGACTACCGATTTTGATGAAAAACTTGGATATTTTAATGTGCGATGATAGATAAGTGGTCGTCAACGAGACGACTTGAATTCCCCGTAGTTTTTTACTACTATATATGAATAATAATAACTGGTTTTTGTTGCCCTCCAGGGTGTGCAACCCTTACATATAATAATGGAAGAATGCAGTTGGTCGTATTGCAAGTAGGGTCAACAAGTTTAAAACTAATGCATTAGGGAGCGAGCGCGTAATGCTAACATTTTCACAACAACTGCTTATTACTTAACATTGTTGTAATATAAAACAATTATGTGCTAGTGTGTGTACATGTAAGTTTTTTCATCTTTCTAACTTAACTTTAATCATATAATAAGTATGTAATTTATCAGCTTCGAAAGGCTTAATATAAAGGCTGTTCGTTCATTTTACAAAAGTCATATGTCAAAATGTCTATCCTGTTTTATATGGCATCGGAAGGAAGTGGTAGTATTAAATTATGGCCGCCATGTCTTGGCAAATCATTACCGGCGGCTAACACTACACTGCGCGCACACTATAAACTTCAAAAAAGGTTTTAAAAGAATCATTTCCTGAGCTTTCGATCTAATTGATTATTAACCTGACTATGGTACAACAATAAATTACATTCATAAAACTTTAGTACGGCTCTCGTTAAATCATGACGTGTTTGGAATCATTAAACCGACCTGTTAATGACGCAGAATGCTTATAAACTCAGAATATCTCTTCAAATATTAGTATTACAAGTAAATAAATATTAGGGAAATATTTCAACTTGATATGCCTTCATCTTGTTATTAATAGCTCCGGCATTACATGTAAAGAATAATTTATGTTGAATTAAATCGGATACATAATTAATGTTGGTTAGATTCCGGGATTGTGAACGTACATAAGTTTTTGCATCGCAAATAACAAATGGATTATGACTACAGTTGGAAGCTTTTCTAATTAGATTCCCACGAATATGGCCTTCAGAACGTATTGTCAAAAGATTACAAGATTGACAGAACAATAATCCATTCAGTTAGCCTTATCTAACAGACTGTATGTCTAACGATGTCAAAATTCAGCCCCCGTTTAAACAAAAGCTGTGGTAAAAAATACACCAGATTTCAACCAACTTCCTGCGTTTGCGACAGGGGTAAACTCATCTACCGCGAAACGTGCCTCTCTTTCTTTTAGCCTAGATGTGAAAGGGACAGAGTGATCACTTCACACATCCACGTTGTCGTCAGGTAGGAGCGGAACCAAAAAAATGCAAGAAAAAATATACGCACCACTCTAAACATCCCCTTTTTGTCCGTCAATTGTTTATAAACGAGTTATAGTAGCCAAGAATTTGATGAATTGTGGCTTACTGATCTAAAGTAGAACCTCTAAAAAGTTTATAATAAGTTTTATATGTCAATAAGTTAGTGAATTACGGTAAATAATAAAAAAAAAAGTGTGTTAAAAAGAGCGGGAAGCGAGCGGTCGTCGGCTTGCCCGAGGCTGGCAACAAACCAACAATTAAATAATACTTACCGGACTACCGAATAAGTTAAATTTTATTATGTCTTCGGGCGGATTTGACGCGCTGACTATCTGATTGATGTTGTTTAGACTATATTTTAAAAGGCGCTTATCTTTTTCGATGTTTCGTCGCTGTGTGTACTAAACAACAAAAAGTGTGGTTCTAGTTATGCCCCCCTTTTTAATTAAATTGACGTCAACTTTTACGATAAATGGTGTAAGTTAATGTAGCAACAGCATTGAAGCTTAATATGTGCCAGTAATCAATTACAAGAGTGGCTAATTTATTTAACATTCCAATACAAGTTAATGCATTCGGCGTCCGAGTCGTGAACATCATTTTTTTCACGTTGAAAGGAAAGTACATTAATTGCGGCGAGCGAAGCAACAAGCAAACTATCCAAATTGATTTGAATACCTAATCTACGATCTCGTAATAACATTTTAGTTTATATTATCGAGTTACATTAATACTCTTTTTTATTTTAATCTCTGCAGAATCACGATCTAGACATATTTTCCAACAAAATTACTGTGTCAAAATGATTTATTGAACACTTACTAAGCGGATGCGTGTTGCCCACCTATCGGTTTTGTCTGGAAATGTATTTTATTAACTTATTGGGAAAGATAATAAGGAGTAATAATGTGAACGCTATTGTATGTAAGTAAGGCAACAGTGTAAACACTCGTCCAAGCAGGTTGAACGTAGTCTAAAAATAACACAAATAATGAAACAGGGGAATGTTTTTCATCTCTCCCGTTATACACACGCGAAATGTGTTAAAATAAACACCAAAACAGAGTCTTTTAATAGCGCGACGATGTGGCCAGTGCATCAATTCGCAATATAATATTTAAATTTGGAATCATCGAGTATGATTTATTTTTTCATTTAAGTTTTTTAGTGTTCCATTTTATACATATGCCATAAAGATGTTGGCGTCTTTAAATAGATCGGCGGGCGGGATCGTATTAATTGCACTTGAAAAAACTATAACATTTGTCCTCTAGGAGGCCAGCTGATGAATGAACGCTGTTACTAATTGGTTTTCTGACCTGACTTTTCACAGAACTTAGCTTCAATGTTGGTATTGTGTTGGGGGGACGCGCCGGGTTGGCACAAAGGGCGTTCCGTTTCAAGGAACGTCTTTAGAAGAAAATAAACGGCTTCTTTTATAAAACGTACCGATATTTAGTCGTGCGACAAATGTTGCGATCTCCTTTGTGTCGATTCGCTGGCAGCTGTGCCGACACAAAAGAAACTTACGATCTAAGTCTGGAATTTGAAATTAACGGAGAAGCATGAGCGTGGAACGTAATAGGCCCCGTAGATTGCCTGGAACGTATATGGAAAGCGCATAATAAGGTATTTTGCGGTTATTTAAGCGTGTTGCACAAGCGAATTGAGATTTCGTGCGTCGGTGTACTGCGCGCTATGATCTCAGTCGTGTACTCTCTTATATCGTAAACCAGATCTTCTTGCTTGAATTGTTATTGGGATTATACGTGTGAACCTCTCACTGTGGAGATTGAATACGGAACTTATTAAAATTCTTTTGAGTTTAACCTTTTTTGTTCGGCGCAACGAAATAATTACCTACTGATATCCATTCTGGATACGCTGGCTATTAATTATTGTTTAAGAATTAATTATGCTTTAGATTTACAAGTTTATTAATTCAATTTCAATGTAACTACATACCTAATACAGGTACAATATGATTAAACTCGATACGACGTGCAGAGGAAGGAATGAAATTATGTTCAATGTAACTGCGATCATCCATTGCACATCGCAGGTAATTCGTAGCAACGTTATGAAACGGTATGATACAGTCGACCACAGTTCCGTTTGCTTACCACTCTAAGTACCTAAGGAGATTTAGATGCAGTTACGAAATAACGAGCGTGAATCTTATTCTCATTACGCGTTTAATTATTTCTTAATTGACGCCCACACACCGAGTAATAACTTATTCGCAGCATCAAATGTAAGTGAGTATTCATAACTGTCAATTTATGGCCTTAACTTTCAACCCACGTGTAATAGACGCACCGACTCATCACTGCGCTATGCCTGAAGCATTGTGCAACCTACACCGTGTTACCAGCATCACTGGCACATTTACCCAATTCGGAATTTAATAATTTGCACTGGCAACACTAGACAATAGAACCTTAAATTAGAAGGTTACTGGCTGAATTACGCGGCATCCGATAAATTTCGAAATTTGAAAACGAACGAGCGCCCTACCACAGACGTTGCGCACTCATACCGAAATAGGGTTGAATTATTTACTTATTTACAAATACATTTATGGTATTGGTTTATTATCTCGAAGCACATCATTCAATATCCTTTGATAATTTCACACAAGAAAGCTAAGCACTGTATCTTTCTGTTTATAAATAATACATAATATTGACTTCCCCGAGCATCCAGTTTGGTTACATTGCGTAATCTGATCAATGGTCCTGGCAGCCATGTTCGTTTTTTCACAAATGTCACTGGGAATCAATTAAACGTCCGGTCGATTGATACACAAAAACACATGAATTTTATTGATCGGCTTTTCGACAGCGGCAAATTGTATTATGGTCTAATTAAATGTAATTCAACAGTTTTGTCGTAAAGTTAGAAAAACAAGATATCTTTTGTGAATCTGTTGAGTGACGCACGCGCTGCTCAGTCGGTCATTATACACTCATCACAATGAGACGAAAACTTAAAATTTCACATAGTTAAGCTGTTAAAAACCAGCGATTATACGTGTTTCGTATAAAGTCTCTTATAATTGAGTCGGTTCTCATAGAACAAAAACCGTTTTGGACAATGGACGAAATTATAACAGAGTTTAAAAACCTACCGTTAAGGAGTTTCACATACTTAAATACTTTATTGCTACTAACATGACATATGACGATTAATTTATTATTGTGCTTTGTTAGTACTGTGTGATTTTTTCCGTAAATGGGAATTTGAAGCGGCAGGTGGTTTTTACTAAAAAGTCATTTACTTACAAAATTGTTGGGAAATCGCGGTGAAAATGTGTGGCCACACCAATTCGTTGGTATTTGTTAACAAAATAGTTTTCTGCACATAAAATTAACACCGCTTGCCCAACTTTATGAAGTAAATTTTACGCCACGAGAATAGGTATACGTAGGTGCGTTGAAATTACGAGCTAACTAACAATTTTTATTGGACATAGTTCACCTGAGTTACTACCGTGTTTCTTCGCTATACATTTTAATTCTAATTTAATTACAAGTCTACAGTTCGTTCTACGCACGTAGGTAACATTTAATAAAGTTTTACTTACTTTATAAGTAGCCACATAACAGTACTGTCTACTTTAATATGACGATATAAGCAGTTAAAATGACCATTAAAGCGGCTGGTTTACTCTGATAACAGACTCACGAGTCAGAATTGAACTTTAAATCAACATGTCAGGCCGGCAATTAGAATTCGTGTGCCCGAGTTGAGTGGATTGTGAAAAAAGCAGATGTTAGTGTGTTTAAGAGTTGCCATTAATGACTGCACCTGCTCGAGTAATATTACCGGGGTTACCAGTTTCAAACTCATAACTTCCTTTATAATTAACAAACGAGATTTTATTAATGTTCGTGTTGAGTTACTTTTGAATTTGGAACACTTTTAAAACTTTTCACTAAATTGACAACCCTAAAAATAGACAAGTGCCACACTACACACATAGACAGAAACACACCTAAAATGAAATATAACTATATATCTCGGTTATATCACAAATCGTAACGCAATCATACACGCACAAGTAACGTTCCATGCGAGCTATGACATGCTATGTCCTAGATTTGCGACAGGTAGACGCCGAGCGTAATCAAGAATACGTTATAGAATGCAACCAGCAACAATGTCGTACCTATTGCATTAAAAATATCAACTCGTTTATAATACCCATACATGGACAATGAGGATACGACCGTTTAATAAACAGCCTATCCTCTGAATAATTTCTCAGGGATAAATGCGATCACGAATCGAACGGAGCAACCTTCAGTGAATTATTTACTTATTTCAAATTGGAAATTATTACCTTGCGGTTTTCGGGCAGACGTGTTTCCGACGCCGCTTCCGATCAAAAAGGTAGTGGAATCATCACGCGATTCGAGTTTCGAACGCGATCAAAGAAAGAATAATGCAGCTGAATTAGCTACTGGCTGCACGTGGGGGTGAAAAAAGAAAAATCCGGACATCGATTCCTACGGATGTATCGAGTATAAAGAATCGAGTTGACTGATCGGTGGGACAATTACATCAATGCACGATCGTCGTCACGTAGACGGGACCAGGGGCAAGACAAACCAGTCCTGAGCGGTGGTGCGCAAAATACCGTTTTTTTATGAAACAACGCGACTTCATTCATAATGTATTATAGCGCCTTGAAAACACACTCACACGCACAGGACTATAAATAAATAGATAGGTATAGCTTGTATGCTGGTGTGAAGCGGACCCACACTATTTAATTAAACCTGATTGGCTCAACAGAAAAAAACAATTAAAACAGCAATTGACGGTAAAAAGTGCACAAAAATCACACGGATCAGCCGGACTCGGGGATCAATTCCCGACACACCGGTTGTTGTCGACAAGTTTTATTAATATTCGCATGTAACAAAGTGCATGTGTTTGTGATATTAACGGTACATTTTGCGAACACATTAATAACTATTCGTTCAGAGTGCGCACACGCACGCATTGGGGAATAGTTCCCTCATTGTAAATTGCCCTCGAGACCGGTAAACGATGCGGGAGAACAAAAAGTCATTCGAGACAAGTATCGATTTTTTTATTATTATCGAGTCTTGTTGACATTTCGGTGGCGCTTGTAAATAGGCTTTTACTTAAACTGCGGGCACCGGTATCTATGTCGGGGAAAGGCTAAGGAGGTCTAGATATCGAATAAAAGTATCGAGTCGGGCGTATACCGATAGTTAGAGTGAATCATGCGATGAGCTTTTCTTGAGCTTATTCAAGATGGTACTCGTAGATGTTAGCCGTACATAAATAAACATCGAGCATCTCCGCCTATTGGACTGAAAGGCTATATTCGATTGATTGATATGTTTCCTTTAAGATGTTAATGAGGCAAATAACGAAGTTAATTAAGTCTGCGTTTATCGATAAGCAAGTCTACTTAAGAATATAAAAGTGATGCGATAAAAAACACGAAAGTTTCATGAACTGTGAAGTTCACACGTCACGTCGTGGCCACTCCACGGCCACACAACCCTTGGCGTAGGACAAGTAACCTTGACCGGTTCATAGGGCGATGACCTCGTACTACTCTAGATATTATTTACAGTCTGCCACCTTTTGACAATTTTCTCGGAACTTTCATCTCGAGCGCATTGTTTATGTACGTCCAGCTTTACTGCGCTCGGCGCCTATTTACCGGCGATTAGCGACGGTCAATAAACAAGCAAAGGGTTCCGTCGTGTAAACTAGACCGAACTACTAACCCTGCCCGAAATATCGCGCGCCTTGAGAGTCGTCTGGAAGAGTTATTCTTGTCGTTGGTGCATGCAGATCGTCGCGAATACGTCTCCTCCAGACTCGAATCCACCGCAAAGCCTCGGAATGCATCTAATTTTAAAACGAAGAGGCTCGCGACCTAGCTGACCCCGCGCGCCGGTCGTATTAAAACCTGAACTTTCTTTATAACTATGTACCTATGTTTGCTCGGTAAACGTATCGGACGGACACACACAGGCGCGTGGAGAAGTCGGCGGCCCGATCGCGGCCGGTCACGACTGCGAGCTCACCTACACTACACCCTCGCTCTCGACCACTATCCAGGACGATCTGCTAGACCACTCGTGGGAAACTATCGCCTAGTGCACAGCGGTCGCACCTACAGCCGCCGGTTTGCATCGCTGTCTTGTTTATGAGAAACGATGCGAACCACGAGTTTTTGATTGGATTTACGCCGATGCGAAACGTAAACAAACGGGGATTCGCGGTTTTTGGTGTCGATATCAGTACCTGGGGTAGAAACCCTAGCAGGGCGATGAGCACCGCGGGGGCGCGCATGCTGGCGCGTCCGGGCTAGCGGCGCCGGGGCATACGTCGGGACCGTACCCGGTCGTCAGCACTCGAAGGTAGATCCGCAGTAATCCATCACTTGCACATGTATGCACTGAGCGTTTCACTGCAAGTCACACAGCACAAGTATCGAGATGTCACTAGTCGCTCATGGGCTCCGGCGAACCGGTCGCGAGATCGTTCACTACGTTCGAAACGCGCGCGTCGCGTGTAGTGGCGTACAGAGGCCTTAATAACGTGTTGTCGCGGCGGCGCGTGACGGCGGACTGAGGGCGGGCGGCGGCCGCGGTGCGGGCAGCGCGCACCTGGCGCGTGGCGCGACGGGCCCCGAGAGATGGCGCTGTGCGGCGCATCTGCCGGCGACCTGCCCCGCGCGCCCCTCGCACAGCCCGCGCGCTCTGCCGCGCACCCGACCAGAAAATATACGGAAAACAGCCCATGTACTGTATGCGAACACGTGCCCCTGTGTAAAAACTTCGGAGATGAATAGACTGCTATGCAGTTTCTTTTTTTTAATTATTTAAAGACACGTCTTGTCAAAACAATTTATTCTGTTCGAGTATCGGCCTACAGTTACGTAGTTTTGTAATGTTTATTAGCAATAACTGCAATAAGAAAATAAAGTTCTGAGATACTTCGAATATCTACCTAATAAGTTATCTACTTTGTAGTTACACAATGACAATATTTTTTTGTATATTGTTTGTTATTTACCTACTTAATAAAATAGGTATGAGTTGGTGTTATTTGTACTTACATGAGTATTTGAGTTTATACTTAAGTTTGGTAACGAAAGGGATAGCTGTTTAAAGTTTCAGCAGAATGTAACAAGGAACTATAGGGACATTGGATACTAAGTATTTTTGTTTTTTCATTATAATATAATAACTTTAGTAGTATGTACCTATACTATCAATTTCGGTAACTAATAAATGTTCGAGATTTTCTGGAAAAAATTTTTTCTTAATTTTTTTTTATAATCCTACCTTTAATTACATTGTACCTGCGTACATTATGGCATATACTGCCAATGTACACCAACTTCACACCAGGTACCAGTTACCTATGTTATGGTTATGAGTCCTAGGATAGTTGTGAATGTACTTAATATTCTCATTTAGTAGCACGGATTCTGCTTATGATTCGAAAATCCCAAGCAGCCTAAATTACCTAGTAATTTATTGTCCGACCCCGGAAATCGAACTTTTAACCGCCATTACCCGAAAAATATGTATAAAATTAATGAACAAGGGAATTGCGTGATACAGTTTAGTTACGGATGCAAATTTTAGGTAAATCTCCACAATTTATTGGCAGCTGCTTTAAAAACAGATAAGAAATAAATGTACCGAAGATGGCCCAAGGGCTGAATGAATGAATGAATGGTTTATTTTATTATTTTATAAAATCATTCGTTCCCCCGAAGTGATCAACGCCAGTAGCAAAGAACGAGTAAAGTCATTATTTTAATTCGACTGGTTAGGTTTTTATAACCGTAATCATTTTGATAAATTGAATTTGATAATTTTTATGTCAATAATATTTTTTATATTTAATTTTATTTTTATTATTATATAGTCCTAGTTTTATTTTTAACTTTCGAATACCGAATTTTTAGAGAACTTTTATGAACGTTTATTAAGCATGGGATCTCGGGTTGTATCTTCGGGTCGTGTTATGTCATATTTATTGGTTTCATCTTTGTCCAACTTTCTTTTAATAAACTTAAAATTGTGTTTGAAGTTTAGTTCATTGGGTACTTATAGTGTGTAAATAGCTATAAGATTCACATGCGAACAATGTCTTTGCCTAAAAAACACGACAATAAACTTACGACAAAAAAAAAACAAAAAAAAAATTAACCCTAAAACCATAGAGTATGAAAAACACAGATCCGGTTTCCACCTACTAATTTGTTGATCGCACTTCGTAGAACTAATAACCTAGTTTTATTGGTCGTTGTAACCACGCCTTGTTGTACCTACCTTGCTTACTGGCATAAAAAATGTTTAGTACTACGTACGTACCAAATGACTATAAAACTAAATTAGCTTAATTGTAATTATAATACTACGTTACATTTGGCTAAGTGGAGATTATTGTTGCTGTGTGTGAAACTTCGTTTGTTTCGCGGTTTTGCTTGTGTGTTAATAGACAATCTTCTCTAATGTTACGGGGCCTTGGGGGCTCAGGAGGTTGTATGGTCGCTAGTGGGAGTAACTGCGATTTGTTTACCAATTCAGTTCTTTACTTGGTTTTTCAAATTTTTTCAGCAACATCACGGAGTCTGTGTGCAATCACATTTATTTACCTATCTACTGCTATTTGCTATAACTACATTACAATTGAGTCATTACATAAATGACATCAGAGTGTTATCACGTCTGTCGCTCTGTTATTGTTTTGTCAAATCGATGATGTCAAAATTTATCTTTATTTTATAAATTCATTGTTGTCGGTGGATTGTACATATTGCATTTAGAAATCAACTATAATAGATTTTTTTACTAAGTCAAAATAAGGTTTGATAGGACTTCACCTACGTCATCCTTCCAGTGAAAAAAAAATGTGGAGTGACATGTGTTTGAATTTGGAACTAAGTCAATTATTTTTCGATTATAGAAATGTCAACTTTATACCTACGTGTCCATTTAATTTTGGAAATTAATCATTATTGAATTTTATAATTATAAACTTACATAGAATTATAAATTGATGTCGCATAAAATGTAGATTCTAATTGAAAACAAAAAGAAAGAAGGAAAGTATTAACCTAGCACCAGACAAAGTCCCTTATCTTTACGAAATCATTGATTAGCGATTATTACTTCATCACGCAGCGAAGTTGCGGAAACTGTACATAAACAAAGGTCAATAACCCCTGAAGATTAATCTTATCGAATAATTGATATCAATTATTAGACAAATACGTTTTTACTAAGAAATTTGGAGGAAAGTAAGATGATTATTCTGTTTTTGATTGACAATTTATAGATACGCTGACACAGGGGTCCTGGATGACCATAATTCCTACTTATTAATTGGTGAATAGTTAATTAGTAGCAGTAGATTTTATGTGGTTGGACATTCTTAGCAGAATAACAAGCATTCGCATTTATTAAAAATAGTTTATATGTATGGTGAAGTAGATAGATCAATGTTAAATTAAACAAAACAGTAATACACAGATTGTCAGTAGTCACGAATTGATTGACTGGTATCAGTCAATTGGCAGAAACGAAAGAAACAGTTACCTACCTTATCTTCGACATGATTACGATTATGACGTTTAATCTATTGTCTCTGATTGTCAACGTGACGTCATAAAACTTAAATGTCTCTGTAAAAAACCCGCGAATTTTTTCCCTCCAAAAGTAACGGTCATTCGCCAGTCTAGCAGATTAACATCTAACAATTAGTGCGTTTTACAGTAGGTAGGTACCTTCTCATTGTCCGCATTAGTCAATTATATTAATTAAAAGTCTTAATAGACCTGAGAAAGGAATAATTACTCGCTTATCTCTAGCACATGTCGTAAACCATGTGTAATTTTGTATCTGTGTGTATAGTCTGCGATGAAAGTTGGGCACAATGTCTCATTGCATGGAGTTTATCAGATTTATTTTTACTAGCATTTTAAGTAAAAAACGTACAAAAATGTGAAAGTCACAGCTGAAAATGACGTATTTTATTATTTTCTTATCTAATTTCAAGTTAGTTCTAGCAATATATAGCAAATAAAATCAAATGACTTGATTTTATCTGATTGAACACGGAGCTTTACAGTAAGTACGTCCTTTATTTGTATTAAGCGTCATTATTGAGAAAATGACACAGTATATTAAACATCTTGGCTTCTTGAAGCACTCAATGTTATCATTACAGATGTGTTGACTATAACTTTGGCTCCAAAAATGGTTTTACTGACTAGTGGGCAGATGTCTAGTTATCATAGACTAGCTACTTCCGTGCGGTTTCACACGCTCTGCTCAGCTCCTATTGGTCGTAGCCTGATGTTTTATAGCCTATAGCCATCATCGATAAATGAACTATCCAACACAAAAAGAATTATTCAAATCAGACTTGTAGTTACGGAGATTAGCGCGTTGAAACAAAAAACAAACTCTTTCGCTTTTATAATAGTATAAGATTCGTTTAAAATATATTTTTAAACACTACGGATGAAACAAGGCATTAGGCAACAATTGCAATCGACTGTACTTACTTTAAGTAAACGTTTAAATTAAATTACACTACATAGTCTGTGGGTATTATTTTGACAGTGTAACACTTTGTTTGTATTTAATCGGTTTATGAGCGGAAGAGAACTTTGCATTAATTAAACACACAAAATTATCTTCGTAATAAAGTCTGCATTTATTAAAGAACTAGCTAAGCCCGCGACTGCGTCCCCGTGGAATAGTAATTCACAGCTCCTCCCCCGTAGTTGATAGCATTATAATATGTAGATTAAGTACCCCGACCTGTTAGTAATATTCATGCAAAATTTGAAGTAAATACATGCAGCACTTTTTGAGTTCATCCCGGACATATATAAAAACCATATATGTATTAGATTTCGGTATCGACTGTAAATCACGCCCAAAGCATTCTTTTAAATAAATATTCTATGTACATTTTTCACTTTCTCTGCCTCATTGGCCGAGTGGTCGCAAGTGCGACTGCCGGGCAAGGGGTCTCGGGTTCGATTCCCGGGTCGGACAAAGTATTACTGGGGTTTTTTAAAAATCTCAGTAGTAGCACGGAGTCTGGAAATGTGCCCGGTATATGGCAATAGGCTCACCCCCTATTACATGGGACTCATAACATAAAATAGTGAAAAGTGGGTGTTACTTCTATGTGCACCTCTGCCTACCCCTTCGGGGTTAAAAGGCGTGATGTTATGTTATTTTTCACTTTCCTACGATTTTATTATATTTATATAGAAGATTAAATATTTTGTACGTAACAAAGAGCCTTAGGTATTTTTTGCTTAATTTTTAACCCGTGGTATCGAACGCAGATCTACACGGGGCATAATGTGTTTTCTATTGTGTCTTATATACTGACATTCAAGCGGTTAATCAGCTTCAAATCCTACATTAATCTCCAGATAGGAGATTCAGTGGTAGTTCGCACAGGGTCTGGTTTACAAGAACATTTCTCTAAGAGAAACAAGCATAATCTGTCTACCGCTTCCGTCTTCAAAAATAGATGTGATACACTGTAATTAGTACATTTTATATTATAAACATGTCCATAGTATGTAGTACTAGAATGTGTTTGAAACATTAGACCATATTAAAACTCATATAGACATTCTCAGGGGAAATTCCCAAATTAACAATAAGCCTAATTAAAGTCTAGACCCACCTATAAACTAGCTTAAATGGCTTATACGTAAAAATGAGGCGTCATCGTTATACCAGGTACTAAGTCGAAATAATGAAACAAGCTGACCTACTGCC